TCTACCCCGTGGCCTGTTTAGGAGGCACAACACACACACATGGGACTGACACAGTTATACTGGCCAGGTAGAATGCTCAAACGATGCCGGTGTTAGTAGGAAGTCCGCTGTATATGATGACAGTATCAGGTGTTGGGTCTGCCAAAACCGTTTTGCGGGGAGGGCACCTAAGGCTCGAAGGCTCGCTCTAGAGGCTACCAGTCCAACTTTCTAAGCATTGAGCCACGGGATCATTATCCTGTCGGTTGCGATCGGGTTTAGCTACTAGGATTGAGGGCACTCACCGGTCGCGTCACAGTGCATACTCGTCCCATCGGGCTTTGGGGCTCGAGCATGAGTCCTCTAGGCAGCCGCACAGCGACTAGTAATACATAAAGTTGTCCCTAACCTGGCCATCACATTCTCCTGTGTCTTTGTAGCTATGCGACAGCCTATGGGTCTCCGTTAGGCGATCGGTGACCGCCATCTTCCCTATAGGCAAGCCTTTTTTGCGTATTTATCGTGTAATATGCTATCCCACTAAATCCGAAAAACAACTGCCTGAAAAAGCAGATCTTGCGAATGACTGTATCTGCACACATCGCGACCAACATGTTTCACCTGTGGGTCACAGACCAGTGAACAGCGGTGTTTGGAGTGCTTTTGTTTCAAGGTTTCACAAATTGCCGAAAGCTTCTTGGTTTTCAAAAATAACCTTCTGTTCGTTCGATATTTGCTCTAGTAGGATGTTTACGCTAATGTGTGAGAAAAACTACCTCAAAGTGCTGCATCACTTCGAGGAAACGTAGGGCTAATTTGTGAGCGATCGAGAATGTAGAAAACATCTAATTTTCCTGACATTTCAGGGGATCAACTTGGGTACAGAGAGAAAAAATTGAAAGTAGTAATTTGCTCCTAGTCATGGCGAAAACACCGTGGGTCACGCATCTGTTATCGCGTGTTACCATGCCAACAGCTTAAGTGAAGTGTTGGAATATTGCTTGTCTGACTGGATTTTTTGAATTCTTCTTTGTGCAAACCTAAAGGGGAGCGGCGGCTGACGTGCTCCAATGACTGATGCCAAGACTGCCATTACGGTTTTCTTCGGGCCCTGTAATTCCTGTTTATTACTCTAATAAGATGCGGTTAATTTTTCGCGCGTAAACTGAATTTTTGGGAAGAAGATGTCACTTTTCGCGGATATTTTCATCCAGATGCACTTCCAAACGAGGGTCAATCGGGGACAGAGTCCACACGCTTGCGAGCGTTCTTCTACTGGCGAGTAGTATTTTTGAGCGCAGGTGTTAAAAACAGCCCCAAGTAGATCAAGCAATCATATTGGTCAATATTTCATTGCCTACGTCCGGCCTAATTTATGGGGGCGCTGTGCGAACTCTAGGCCACTGCCAAGGGGGCAGCTAGAGGCCCAAAGTGCGTTCGGGGGGGGGGGGATGTTACGAGAATGGCGTCAGAACTAACGCACCACAAGTACTCGAAGCAAATTTCTACGTTTAATTTGCTTTCCCCAGCCAAAGACAGGAGATGTTTGACTTGGTTTTAGTTTCAAAATGCCAGACTGCTCACAGCGTGACATCGGTCATAAATGAGGACCAAAGTTTCGATAGAAGGGCAGGCAAACGAGGCGATTAGTCGAGCACGTCAACATTCTGCGCCCTATTATTTGTGAGTGCCACGATAAAACAGCCTTCCCTTCAGCACCGTGATAGACGCCAGGTGTCCAACTCCCCCAAATGGCGCATCGACAACCCGAGGAGAACCTGTGGCATGACTATTTGACTGTCATTACCGACAAGATCCTCCGCGTGACCCACAGCGTGGTTGGCGCAGAGACGGTGATTTGCTCGTGAATTGGCTTACGGTGACAGGGACCTTGTGCTGCATCCTCCGTACTGGCTCCTCCTCGCCTTTCTGGACCCCGTGTCAAGATAGAGTCAAGATGACCGGAGGCGGGATCGAACGCAGCGACGGACAGAGTGAACCACTCCGTCTATGCGGGAAGGGGGCGGCTAGGATCCCAGCTGAGTGGGAATGCCATACGGGTCACATTTAGAAGGATCCATTGTGACCTGACTGTCTGTCCTGAGAGGAGGAACTAATTACTATTCCAGTTGGCAGCCTTCCAAGCTACAGCTTCTTCTGGCAAAACAGTAGAAATTGCCAACGACTGTGAACACATGAATAAATCCGTTTTGGTCTTGGTCCCTGGAAAATGATCGAAATGCTGAGAAATCTTGTGAGTTCTAACGAAAGTAAGAACTGTCCCGACTAACACATGGATTGCTTTGCCGCTTTCTCAGGGAGTTTTTGTTAACAGAATATTGGGGCATTTTAATGAGTTATTGCTCTGTTTCCAGTTGCCCCGACATAGTTTGGGCCTAAATATCCATTAAACATTGCTCCATTGTCAGATTTACCCCCATATCCACTTACGCAAGTGCAACAAAGCACGGCTACTCGTATGAAGCGGCTTATTTATGCAGGTCAGGGCTAGGAGGGTTAGGATTAGCGTTAGAATTCTAGTCAGAGTTATGACACGGGATTAGGTACACTCCTGGAGTTTAACTTGAGGCCACTTGCTACATGAGGGGTCCATACTCCCCGAGTTTGAATCGGTGTGCAAATGTCCAGATGTTACTAGATTAGAACTTCCAGCATCCCAGAAAGACTTGGCTGTATGACAATGCCACGCTTATCCAATGCGCCCAGCAAAAGCATGTTTCCCCAGCTAATCATTAGAAAATATTGTCCCACTCTTCCGACTTTTCTACATTAGAAGTTTTCTTGAAAAGATAATAAAAGGCAGTAGGTGGTCCTTTCGTACTTGGTTGGACGCCGTTAAGATAAAAAAAAACTGTCTGTGTTCCAGAATGTCGATTGTTCCTGCTTTCCTCCTCTGATGACGTGTCGTTCGACTATATTTTAGCAATTGTAATCATCTACTGATGACGTTAAAGTAGAAAGTAGTTTAGCAACAAAACGTCATGGGACAGGTTATGATAGAATCACTGACGAATACAAATGCCACTTCGCCAGTTCACGGAAGATTGATTAGGGAATGATGGTTTTCATAAGTTATTTTCGAGCGAATTGACTTATTTAAATAGCCTCTGTTGAGTACATGAGGGGATTCCTACAGTAGGGGGCTAGGATGCATAACTAGATAGAATTTGAGTGGACGTCTAACGGATTAGAACGAAACTTCGTAGATGAATGGGAAGTTGATTATGAGATTTATCCTCTCACCCTCTAATTTACTGATATTTCCAGAGAGGTGTCCTCTGATAGTGGGACTTCGTTTCCTATTTAAATAAACTTCTTTTTTATTGAGTTGCTAAAGAGTTACCGAAATCGGCCGTTCATCAACCCATCCTTTACAATGAAATATCAATTTTCAGATCGAAATAATAGGGACTGCCTACCATGCGTAACTTTAAGCTAAAACGCCGGCATCCCGTCTTGGCCAGCATCATTGAAAAACGGCTAGTGCAAATTCCTCTCTCGGATGCTAAACTTTCAAAAAACGACAAAATCAGGCCTTCGAAAGAAGAATAGCCAAATCTTAGTTGTTATAATAATCCGACTGTCATACCGCCTCCTCTACCAGTTAGAAGGATTCTTCGCATGGCTTGTGCAGAGCAAACGTAATTCACTGCACCTCTGTAGGATTCAAGTCGCTGGTTCGCTACCATCGAAACCATGCTAAAGTATGCACAGTATTCTCTTCGGGTCGCACTCTTGGCACGCATAGCTGGCATGAACCAATAATGTCTCATTTTGGCTGTGCTCCTTACCTTCCCCTTGTAGAAGTTTCGAGAATCTCAACTAACATGTGAGTAGGTTTCTGAACGCATACCTCCGGTTCAAACTAGTTGTTAAACTGACTGTTCCTAGTGGCCATAAAACGTCCTACAGAAATTTGGGAACTCATAGTACACGCTGAACATCATAAAACAACGAAAGATGAATTGGAGTTTGATTCAAAACAATACAGACCTTCTTCTAAGGTCACACTGCTGATAAGTGAGAGGCATAAACCCGTAAGCTTTCACATACGATAGCAGGCTGAATTAAAGCAGAATATCTTTGCCACGACATAGGTAGATCTGACTTGTCAAAAGCATTAATCATATAGTAATTGAATGATAAAACGGGGCCAGCGTTACTCTAAACTCCCTCTTGATAATAAAAAATATGGGCAAGTCAGTGCCGTCCCCCTCTCCCGTAGTATATTTCGGTTTTGGTAAAGTTTTCCAATTCCCCGATAATTTGAAACCCGAGCTGAGGCGGGTTTCAAAACTGCAAGCTGTATACTTTCCATGTACGAAACTCGAACATTCCTCGATATCATTAAGATATTGTACAGGGTGACCGCAGAGAAGCGCAATCATAAGCTGGCATGCTACATCCCCAGCTACATGGCCCCTTCTAGTCTAAAACATATTGTAGGACCTTCGTTAACATTTCCTGAGATACATCGCCCACTGTACTTAAGCATCTTTACTGGAAGACTGTCTACCTTAGTAAGCCACAGGCTAGTAAGTTCAACGTAACCTGGACGGTCCGTATCGCCATGCGAGGTTCAGACGGGGCCAGACACGCGCATTTCACGTTGTAGGAAACTCCATAGAACAGACCCTTGATCTTGTCCTCCTTTTTAATAAGCTTGACGAGGTGACCCCACACTGGCAAGACAAATCGACTCAACACGACACATTCCTGAAGCATTGACAATACCCTAAGAGGTCTCCGTGGGGCATCAACTTGCATGATACTCGTGGCGGCACGCACCAGTTTAGTCGGTTACTACCACTGCTGACGCAAAAAGCCCGAGGCTGGCGAAAAATACTCTTCAAAAATGAACTTTCATTGGATGGAAAGACATAGATCAATTCAATATGTTCACAAGGGGGGGGGACGCCATGAAGTTTTCTCAAGACAGCACACAGGAAATGCAGATGCTTTTATATACAAGAACGAGTGCGAGTACCAGGGCGGGAAATTCAATCGCCTCCAGCATCCGCGGCAGGCAGGGCGGATGACTGAAAGCGCACGAGGGCCGCTCGAAATGCCTCTGGATCGGACCACAGTTGTGCTGCCTGACCATTTAGTGGACTTTTATTGTTTGGCTCTGGAAAAAAAAGAGGAGCAGTTAAGTAAGGCGGTGTGGAGGCTGTGGATGGATGAAATCAGGCACGAATATCCTACCTGCTAAGAGGCTGCGGATGGACAAGAGAATACTTTTCACCGTGAACAATGCAGACCACTCCTCCTTCAAAATGTCCAGACAGATATTGCCGCGAGTGTCCACGTTGGGATGAAAGCACGGTGACACGAATCGCACGGTTGGTGGCTTGTACGGATAGCTGGAGCCGAACTCCAATGATAATTTGTATGTTTCGCCTTCGTACACCTGCGGCAGACAATTAGGAATTAGATCGGTGAAAAAGGTGAGCATTTTTAAAAATTCTGCGGCCAAATACACAATTCTGAGGTTTCTATTCTTAGCCCTCAGTCGGGAAGTCTGCAGGAAAAAAATGCGTTGAGTTGTAATGGCTAGCATCAGTGTCGGTTTAGCCTGCTCTGGGGTCTAAGGCATTGCGAATTATTGTGCCTGTGCTCCATAATAGTTAGGCAGGAGGCGTCAACTGAATGCACGGTATACGACTTTTGGAGGGCCGGTTAATGAAAAATTCACAAGTCAAAAGAATAATCTAGGAAAATAACTCCCTAGAGGAATAAACAACAAATTCATTTTCGAAGATCTACGTGTCATGTTAAAGGAAGAGCTACTATTGTTATCATTCGACTAGGTATATAATCCTCCTCCTCCTCCACCGCCCCAACGTCTGCTATTGTGGCGTCTGACATGCACATCAACGCTACACGCAATCCTGACACAACAGCCAGCACCACCACCACCAACACCAAAGGTGAGGACCAGGACTACACCAGTCCTTACTGCGACCGCATCTTCACTTCACACATCGGCCTGGTCGATCACTTGCGAATCCATCGCACAGACTGGCGAACCAGAGCATAGAGCGTTAAAATGCACTCGCTGCACCCGCCTCAACTGCCCTCACTGCGCCCACCTATTCTTCCACCTTATGGGTCTATCAGGCCGCGTGCGTACCCATGAGAGCGGAATTGACCGCAGCTCCGACACACCCACCACATCCAGCACACTTACCATGCCCAGCTCCTCTTCCACCCGGTCGCATGTGCGCCCGCCACCAATACAAGCACCATTTCCGTAACTGACATCGACACCACCGACTTCTCATGCCCACACTGTCCCCGCCCATTCACCTCACGCATCGACCCGGTCGGTAACTCGCGAATCCATGGCGCAGAGGCTTGCGAACCAGTGCCTAAAACACCCACCTACACCCGCCCCCACTGTCTACGCTGCCCTCCCACATTCATGTACCGCATGGGTCTATTCGGCCACATGCGCACCCAGGAAAACCTGCGATAGACAACCGTCGGCTTCACCACACCGCGACATTCTTCCTCACCATCACCTCACCGTTCATCAGCATCGGCCACCGCAAGCAACCAACTGCCACCACACACGCAAGTGGAAAGAGTGCGTGTCGACTTCGTCCCCCTGCGGCTCCTATTGCACGGGTCACTCGAGCCTGAGACTATCCCGATGCTTCAAGCGCCGTGGATTGAAGGTTGCTGACTGACGACCAAACTCGGTCCACGCAGCCCGTTCAGTTGTTTGTGTGTTGCTTAGAGTGGCGAACTGGAGGGCAGGGGCCGGGTGGAAGTAATTCCTTCCATGGCACTCTCACGCATAAGACAGATACGCCGCCCAACTCCCGTTGTGTGAAATTCTGGTGTTTGGAGAGCCAGAACGCGTGTGTGGCGCGCGCAGACATGGTCACTAGACCACGTCAGCCGTCGCGCCTATTCCCTGCTCCTGTCCGCTGACTGGCTCAGAGAGTGGCTGAGACAAGGGAATGGGAAGCGACAGTGAGGTCGACGACTCAGCGCATTCTCCTAACTATAAACAATGTGAAGCTCTTGAAACTATCCCAGTGCGCTAAGAGCCGTGGCTTGGAAGGGTGTCAACTGACGGGATAACTTGGACGTCTCGGGCGGCCCAGTGTTGTGTTTGTGTGGAGCGGCCAGCTGGTGGTCTGAGTCAGGCTGCAATGGCTCCTTCTAAATGTGGCCTTTATGGCACTCCTACTGTGTGGGATACGAGCCGGGTGTGGACGGCACACCGATGCGCGGCTTCGGTCGTACCAGCCTCCACTCTTTGTTGTTGTTGGTCAAAACCTGGCTATTTGTCGTGCGGACCAGGGGATGTACAGTGAAACGCCAAGGCGCGGGCTAGACTGGGCCATCCACTTGCGTCATCCATCGTCTCCGGTCTTCTTGACTCTGTCTTGGAACTGGGTCCAGGTGGGGAGGGGAGTGTGGTAGATGCAGCGCAAGTCTACTCACACTAAACACCACGCAAGCCGCCGTCCCTGCTCCCACCCTGCTGTGGACCACACAGTGGACATCGTCGAAATCGACGGTCGAACTCAAGTACATAATCGATCCCTCTAGAATAACAGTCTGCCATGCTGCATAGGAATGTGAAAATATGCACTCTTGAGAGGGAAAATAATCACGCGAATTAACAGATATGAGGGCGGCCAGGTAACCGAAGGTAGTTGAACGGATCTACTTAACGCATCCAACATGTGGCAATGATATGGGCTGACGACTGGATCGAAAACTAAGCATACGTTCCGTAGTAAAAGAGACATTTGAGAGGGGTGACATACCGAAATACTGCGAAATACACCGCTTAGGATTAGGGTCTATGCGTGAGGCCTGACGTTTGACTCCACCTGTCTTCAAAATCACGGGACATTAATCGAGTCGAAGCATTCTGGAACAAAATCAAGCCCGTTATGAAAAGCTGGCGCCGGCTCGGTGTCTGGTGCCGTACCTAGGCCACGTGGCTTCATCAAGGGTAAAGTAATCCTTCCAGTCAAGTCATCTGGCCTAGCTGCAATAAACGGGAGCGCAGATTAAGCAATTTTCAAGCGCAATCTCGATGAACAAGGATTTACAGCCGGTCCCAAGCCACGAAACGGGCAAGTCGACAAGGCTCAATCAAGAACACGAGGTACCGCCAATCGGCTCCCACTCTGAGCCACATCCTATCAACAATTAAGCAAGTTCTCGTCTTGTGAAACCGACTTTGGGACACAAATTTTGGAGCAAATGTTCTCACAGTAGAAATGAAAATTGTCCGTTACTTGAATACTGCTAAACCCCAAATGGCATGATCCAAGTGTCTGCTCCCTGACAGTGACGAAATTTCGCAGTTTCGAGTGGTCATGCATATCATTCCCCTGACATGGCCAATTGCTTAATACGGTCCGCGCAACTGCGCATCTAACGTGAAAATGGGTGAGGAGTGTGGACTAGTAGCACTCTGGCCGCAAATGTGATTTAACGGCCCGAAAGGGTACTGCAAGGCGCAGGGCAGCAGCTTTACGAAAAGATTGTAAAGACTACCTATAAGACACGACGCTCACCGTTTTGTCCGGGCCCAAAATTGTCGCAAGCCATCTTGTCATATCTTCACCATCAGGAAAAGCCGAAATTCCTTTTTCATCTGACATCTGGGGAGATCATACGTTGGGGAAAGTTGAACGTACCATTAAATCCATGAGTTCCTTTTGCAACCTAGGCAGACAATTAAAGAGAAAAAGGCAGTACCGTTTTGTAACGCTGTCGCAGTTCATTGTGTCACTCGCTTGAACGAAAGAAATCCGTAGGTGAAACCACAATAAAGCCACCGCCAAACACTCAAACTCAAATTGGGCGGCTTCGTCTTCATATAGGCCGCTTGGCGCACAAGTTACCAAACTTGACTTAGAGGCAGTAATTATTGGGCCAGACATACTCGTGTAGGAGTTATCCAGAAACCCCGGACATCAGAAGAACTCACCTCTCGCCTGCCACTATTCAACAGATATAAATCCAAATTAAGGACTGAAGTTTTCGCACAAATACAAAATCGGGGTTTGCGGGGCTGGAGGCAAGACAGCTTTCGAGACGACAACGCTCGGCAGCGAAAATTGAACACAAGTCTCTTATAACAAAAGCATGTAAAGATGTTGAAACCAAGTGAAATAAGACAGGATAAGACAGTACTAAACAGGCCGATTGCAAACAAAAGGTGAAAAACAGTCAAGACATGTCAAAGGCGTAAAATGGATGAAATGGAGTTTAGAGCAACAAAAAGGGAGCTTAAGGCAAGCAACTATATCATTCTTAATAGTAACATCAGAACATCTGTGTTTTGGAAATGAAGAGGTAGTGTGTATCACTTTTATATCATTGTACTACGTTGGACTGGTGGATATTTCTGAACTCGATGCTGTCATTTACCTCGTTGGACGGACAAGAGTACCACGAAGAATTTAGTCGCAGCTTATATAGTCACCTCCGGTTGCTAGGATGACTTCTTCAGACAATTCATCCAATTTTGAGATTGTTCACTGAAAAAGCTCGTATGCAGAACTCTTGCACTAGCTCTAGTTTTAAGCGGTTTTATGGCGTGCCCACGAAGATGTTACTTACGACTACGTTGTAAAAGCAAACGACATTACATGCCATCTCATACATTGACTGTTTTCTATTCTTCACAACTTTTGCGTTTTCTTGTCTCTGGTATAGCGTTGGAAGTTAGAGTTTTCTGTTTCGTCCATTTATTCTTAGATCATAAATCGAACATTTTCCGAAGACTAATTCAAATTGAAGAACTGTCTCTACAACTAAATTTGCAAGGCAATTATGGACACCACTCAAAGATGCGAGCGTTCAAATCTTCGTAATCGCGGTCTCCCAAGTGAATTGCTTGAGGGCTGTGTATTGGGCCCCGGGTATGGAATTAGCCCCGCTAGACTATCCAAAATAGCTTAATAGTAGACGCGGGCCTCACTGGTGCAGCACGATCAACTAACAACTGTTACGTTAAGGTCAAACCTCAGCCATGGCACAAGATGGCAGGCAAGGTGTTCAGGCACGATCATATGAGATATAATCTTTCAGATTTACATCGTACATTCTTAAAACTAATCAGAAGTCCACAAAATGTCAGTGAATTTATTGCTTGATGCATCCCTCCTGGGCTCAGGAATTAACCCTGGGCTGGACTCCTGCTTCTGTCCTTTTTATTTAGTCGAGCCGGCTATCAGTCATTGTGCTGTGTAACTTTAGCCTTATTCTTGGGCTACATCTCACCTCAAAAAAGAGAGCACATTATAATTCACTTAGAGGAATGGAAAGCAATTAGGTTTAGCACATCCACCCGCTAATTAGCCTATGGCTCACTGTACGCCAAATCCCTAGAGACTTTCTCCTTCTCTACGACTTTCCTGGCTATCATAACCATTGATGTCGGTTTGTTTTAACGTATTTTTTAGTTTTAAGGCACGCATGACAAATCTGATCATGATTCGAACATTTAGCTCAGCGCTTGATAATGGCGAACACGTCGGGGTCGTCTTCGCCAATCTTAAGGTGACCATTGACACAGTCGATAACGCACATTCCAATGGCGCATTTAGTGCAGGTTTTATAGTTAATGGTCACAGATTACATACAGTCTTACCTAAACATGTTTTTTATTTGCGTGTCCATGGAACTACATCTATAGACCGAAACATTCGCAATAACGTCCTGGAATCGTCACTTCTTCTAGACTATTGTCGCGGCGGCTTAAGTCATAGGCAAGCTCTATTCACTAGGAGTTTTAGGCCTAATTCCGCGTACAATGTGGAAAATTTTGACGTCAGTTGTGATAGCCCTGTACTCCGCATATAGGGAATGGAAACTCAGCTGGACTAAGTTTGGAGGAGGCATGACCGGTGTCGACTGAGCAGACATCCAAGTGCCAGTGTACCTGGTGTTTAAGTGCTGACGCAGAAGCGTTAGAGCTCCTTGAATGAGGGTACCTTATGTATGCATAGCATAACATTGTGTGAAGTCGTGCCTTGCATGCATTTTCGTTCACGGAAATTTGCTGCCACTTAGGCAGAAGATCGTTTAGATAGAAAATATGCGAAATTTATCCGTCTTCTATAGTATGTCAAAATTAATTGAAATCGCAGTTCAAGGACTGCATACAAAGGTCAAAAAATTAGTTGAAACTGCATTTGTGCACTTGTCTTTTTGACAACGTCCGTTGCAACCTAACGCCACTGTTCATGCCTTAAAGTGTGGGCGGGTATTTAGAAGAGTATGGAAACCGTTGATATTTTTACAGGAGACAGAGGCGATCTTTTCCATATTTAATTCGCCTTTATACCCTTCGTCAATTGTAGACGTATACTGAATCTTGTCTTTCATTGATTCTGGTTGGACCTTCTAAAAATTGCTGGTACCTTTATCACAACCTGGAAGACAACCACTCCCATCCATGCGTACGTGGCCGATCCGTTGAAGTGCATCCTTTTACTAGTATAAGTCTAACTGACTCAAGTTTTTACACATTGGTCGTCTGAAAACTCTTTTCTTTTGAAATTCACTCTGCCTTTTCTCACTACATAGGAATTCTTGAGAATTTAACAAAGGCAACAACATAACAGTCAAACCATGTCATTCGTAGAATTATTGACTGTCTGAAAGTTGACAAAGCAAATACTGAAATGAGAAGACAGTTATCCGGGGTATGAAGTAAATAGCACGTCTGAAGCCCACCGAGCACAGCGCTCATACCTGGGGAACTTATAAATTAAGGCGTCTGACAGCGTTCCCCACAGACATCTAATCTACGAGCTATCTGCAAGTGGAATATGATGAAAGTTGCTGACATAGATCGCACATTTTCTAATGGGGGGGGGTCTCAAACCATGTGCGTTGCTTCTTGGAAGTCAACCCGGCTGGATACCAGTGTCGCAGCACTCCGATTCGTGGCGAATCGCAGTTTTGCGACACTGGTATCCAGCCATTTCCGCTTTATGATAAATCGACAAAACACGACGGGAAGCTAAGATCACTTATGACAAAAAATAGGAAATTTCGTCAGATCTACACTGTAGAACTGGCAAAAAGATTAAGAAATCAAATTCAAAAACAGAACTTTCAGTAATCTTTTCAAAATTGTGTTGTGCGCGTTGACCTTCACGCACCTTCAGGGGTGCAAAGGAAATTTCTCCGTCCCTCCTGTGCAAGATATTTAATCTCGCTCTTGAAAGTAAAACCTACCGTAGCTTGTGGGAGGAATCACATAATTTTCCTATCCCCAAACACAGTCACTCTGTGTGATAAGGGCGCAGTCGATTAAGATTCTCATTCGTCTCTGTGCCCCTTGCATTACCATCAAACTCGAAAGTTTTCTGCGATAGTCTGAGGGCTTGGGACCCATGCAACTTCCTGTGGTGGGTGCCCAGGTCGTTAACGTACCTGGTTTCGGTTATTCAAGGACATTCCTCGGAATCAGCTATCTATTTCCCTCGATCATTTTACTGCAAGATTTCCTTTTTTCCTATTGTTATTTCCGTATTTTCATTGGTTGTTTTGGTCTTATATTTTCGCTGTTTGTGTTTGGACTGACGTGACAGATACGGAAGGTGTTGTTGGCGTGTCTTTTGTGCCTTTCAGCTTAGATAATAATGATAATAATAATAGTGATAGTTTTTTATTAAAGACCCGTCGGGGTCCCATCAAAGCAAGTTAAAATAAGTTTACATGCGAGTTTTAGACGAGGTAGGCAGAATCTTTACAAAATGCAATTCATAGTTTCTGAATCAGTAGTCCATTGAGAAGCATGATTAGTGAGGGGTGACAAAAAATTCCATACGAAAAGTTTAAATGACTGGATTAATTTTACAGGATAAAAAACCCCTCAGTTTATTCAGTTTATTTGGTAAGGATAATAGGCAAAGCCTTTGAAATCCCTATTGATTACATGTCAGCTCGTTAGAAATAACTGTACATGAACAAAAAATATTCACCATTAAAACAGGACTTGATTCATTTGAGTAGCATTGTCTCACAGAAAATATTTGTGGGGACGCGGGGTCTTAGTTCAGATTCAGACTGTCGAGGGAAAACAGGGGACACAAATAATCATCCAAGCGTTTCTTGAAGAGTTGCGGAGACGTAGCCTCCACGACTGACTAAGGGAGATCGTTCCATTTCTCCACTACCCTCTGCGTGAAAAATTTAGAACGAAGATTCAGCCTGGACATTGTTGTCCGTAACTTCATCGAGTGACCACGAAGATTGGGTGAAAGGTGCCACTGAAACATGTCCTCAAATTTAAGTCCATGCTCAAGGCCATGTATTATCTTGTAGACGAGGATAAGATTACCTCTGTGCTGCCTGTAAACCAGAGGGAATAAATTAAGGCGATTCAATCTGTCTGTATAGGATTGGCATTTTAGACCGTTTACCAGCTTTGTTGCACGCCGTTGTACTTGTTCGAGGCATGCTTGGTCCTTTACTAGCCATGGCTGCCATGCTTGTATGCCATATTCTAAGTGGGGCCCAACAAAAGTGCCGTAAACTCACCCAAAAAGGTCTTGGTCAAAGTTAACGAAAGCCCTTTTTATTGTATACAGCACTCCCATGACGTTTTTTGCAGACTTGTGATAATCAATAAAAATAATGACAGAAAAAAGCAGGCAGGACTGGCCTGTAGGTGGCGTTATATAACGGATTATAATCGGACAATGTCTGCGCAGAAATAAATGTCAGCCTTGATTATAATCGGACATCGTCAGGGCAGAAATAA